ATCAGGCTAGAACATAGACTGCACTTTCTACAGTATGGCTTTCAGGATTATTGCAACCAATTCATGCAAATAAAAATTTCTACTCTTATTTTTACCATTTCACTTTCCATTTGTATTTTAAGTAATGCTGGGATCTGTCACAACCCTATATTCTCAGAGCAGAGACTGTATTCTTTACATAGAGCTGAATACGGTTTAAGTAGTAATTGTAGTGTGAAAGAGAAACAGTAAGGATAATTATATCTTACAGCTGAATGTGAAAAAGTTTGTGAGCCCAATCCTGTTTCCATTCATGCCAAATTTTAAATAAAACTGAGAGCAAGAAAAGTAGATGTTATGCCTCTTTGTGAGGATACAATTGGGACAGCTAGTCCCCAAATATTGTAATTATTAGTATTATGGCAAAGGTAATGCCTAAGCAGAGCATTACTCTTGTGTATCTAATGTTGGGCCATTGGTGGGCTATACCACATCTTTTTATCTTACCCTTATCAGTTACTGATATCCTGATCAGTTACGAAGTTCATCATTACAGATGGAGATGCAGTGGAAATAATTTAAGAGCAGGCCATATCTTTATCTGCCCATCAATAGATCATCCTTCAGGAGCCAGACTTTCAAGTTGTATACACTAAAATGACAATGTCTGCAAAATTTGATGGAAGACGGAACAGGAATTAAGCAGAAGAGAATGTTACTTTATTAAAACCTATCCACATCACTAACACCTCTCACTATAAAAAATTACTGTGAATCTAGTAATTAAAATGGAATATCAAAACCTAAACAAAGATTGAGTGATCTAGTGAGAACAAGAGTGGACTACGACTGTAAAGATTACATACATGTTTTACATAAACCAGTTGAAACTGGTAATCACATACTTCTAAATATGTTAACTGGTGGTGTATGCAGTAAGTATTTATGCACTTCAAATATTTAAACTTGTAATTTATTCCCTAACTGCACTCTTCAGTAATCCATTGAGAGCCCTTCAATTTCCATTCAGTAGAAACAAGGTTTACAATTATATATAAAATTATAGCTACTCAAATGAGTGCTAATAAATGTAAACTTACTGGGCCTTTAGGATTTTAAAATTACGGTTAGAATAATTTGGGTTTTTTATTTTATCTACACACACTGCATATATGTATGCAAATTGTGGCCTCACTTCACTGTCACTGAAAACTTTTTCATCTGGTTGCTGATTAGTAGGGTCTGTGTTCTTGTCAAGAATGAAAAAAAGAGGAAGCACAATAAGGAGGAGGGAAAACGAGCATTTAGGCTGAGAAGCTGGAACAAAGCATGCTGGAGTCAAATCAGCAAGTTTAAGGCTTCTTTTTAATTTAAGATAGTTGTCCAGTTCATTAAATGTGTGTATCTGTATTAAACAAGAACAAATGAATGCAAGCGATGAATCTAAATGCTCTGAATGGGAGGTTTCAGTTGAGTATTTTTTCTAGAAAAAGTCAGGAAAAGTCACAGAAACTGAGATAAAAAACTTGGAACTTCTCTGACAAAGCTCTTACCTCAAGAGCAGTTTTCAGCCCTTGGCACTTCAACATGCTTTCAAGAGAGACTGAGCCATTGCAGCTGTTCAGGGTGACAGTCATGGCTTCTCTTAAGTAGTACACCTAAAACAATCACAACCTGGAGAGGATACAATCTTTCTTGTCTTTCAGACCCCTGTTACAGCTTTGACCCTCTTCAGAGTCATCAATAGCATTAGCTTAAGGGATGTTCCTATAGAAGAAATAGAAGGTTAAGATACGTTAGCAGGTGAACAGAGCACATAACAGATAATAAATATGATGCTTTGGAAATTTGTACTTTGCACATGCTTGAACAGTGTGTCATTTGGATCCTTCTCATTTCAGAGAGGTTATATCTGAAGAATGTCAGAGAGGGTAACAAAAATTACCAAATAATAAGTAAACACAACTAAGTGGCTAAGGAGTATCCAGAATACACAAGACTGTCAATGTCAATAAGAAAGAGATCCGTAAGGGAGTAGACTGGACACTGTGAGTGGCCAAAGTCTGTCTCAGTGTGATCACAAAGGGTTAGAAAATGAACCAAGTTACCAGGCACATGTTTTAAAGAAAATATGTCTCTTCCCAAAATATACAACAGGGCCAGAAACATTTTAGAAAATGTATAGAGTGCCTCATGAATGCTAAAACTTTTCGTGATCTGAACGGGCAACCGGATCCACTGGAAAGAGTAGCTGCATAGACTCCATTCTTTCCTCAAGAAGTCCCTGCAGGACCAATTGGAGTTGAGAAAGCACTCCTCGCTGCAGGCTGACATCAACACTTACGCTGTCTTTACCCCACACTTTGGCCACCCATCTGCTACCGGGGTACTTTGCCCTCCCAGCGCTGCCCCCAGAGCCACGGCCCGGCAGGGACACGAGCCCGGAGCCTGCTGTAAGCGGTCTCCGTTGTGAATTCAGTGGCGGGCTGCCGAGAGAACCGCACCGAGCACGGCCAGCGAGCAGCGCGGCACCCCAGGGCGGGCTGGGGGCACGGACCCGTGCGGGCCGATGGGCCGACAGCTCGGGCCGAGGCTCAGCCCAGCCCC